CGAGAGGGCGCCAAGACTGGCTGAGAGGGGGGCCCGGGACGCCAGGAGGGCCCCAAGGGTCCCCAAAGACGGTCCCAAGAGACGCCCCCTCGTCGACGGAGAGGGGCCCAAGGCAGCCCAAGACGGCCCGCAGACGGCCCAAAAGGGCCCCCCCAGACGGCCTCGAAGCGCAGAAAGCAGCCACAGAATATGTTACGCCCCGGGAGGGCACCTCCCAAAGGATAGGGCACGAGAGGCGCCACGTGCTGCTGCCTTCTGGCTGGTGCCCGAAGCGTCGCCACACTGAGTGCTGCACTGACACGGCGGCGGGACCTGCCACGAGCAGCGCCTCGCGGCACGTGTCGCAGAGCACGACGCAAGGATAAGAGCGTAATACATACATGTATGTATATACACATATACATACCTACATGCATGCATGCATGCATGCATGCATGCATACATACATACATACACACAGTCATGCATATATGCATACACGCACCTACATACATACATGCATACATGCATACATACTTACATGCGCACATACGTACATACATGCATATATATATATATATACATGCATGAATACATGCATACATACATACATGCTTACATAGATGCATACATGCAGGCATGCATATATGCATACCAGAATACATATATACATACATGCATACATACATGCATGCACATACATACATACATACATACATACATGCATGCATGCATACATACACACACACATACATGCATGCATACATACATACATGCATACACATATGCATACCTACATGCATACGTACATACCTATATACCTACATGCATGCATACATACACACACATACATACGGCCATCAATCCATGCGTACATGCATGCATGAATACATACATACATACACACATGCATGCATGTACATATCCTATACATGCACATGTACATATACATATACATATGCAGTTACAGATCCATATAACTATACATATACATGTACATATACGTATTACATGCATGCATGCATACGTACGCACGCATGCGTACAGGCATGCATGCATGTATGCATGCATGCATACAAGCATACATACATACATGTACATATACATATACATTTACATATACGTCTTCATGTACATCTACATATACATATACATGTACGTATACATATACACATGCATGCACATGTACATGTACATATCAATATACATATACATGTACATACATACATGCATGCATACATGCATGCATATATAGATACATACATACATACATACATACATAATTGCATGCACATATACATACAGACATACATGCATATAAACATATTTACATACATACATGCATACATGCATGAATGCCTGCATGCATGCATGCACACATACATACGCATATACATACATACATGTATGCATGCATACATGCATGCATATGCATATGTATTTAGATGTGCATAAATGTATATGTACACCTCCCTCTGGCGAGGCCTGGCTGGGCGGGAAAAAGAAACAAGAAACGGGACGCGCGCATTGGAGTCCGCGCTTTGGGTGGCGTGTAAAATCCAAAATTACCTTGTTTACAGGGCCAGGTTGGGGGAGAAGGGGCACGGGAACAAGCGCGCCCTTCGTAGAGCGCGCACCACACAGAGCGCGCCAGTGGGGAACTTCGCGGGCCTAACTGGGCGACTGCGTGTCAGATCCTCTGGCCGATGTCCCACTGAAACATCCCTTTGTGTGTTTGTTGCCTGCTTGGGCCGTCCGCGAAGCTGTGGGGTTCCTCGCCTGCCCCTGTCTCTGGAAGCCATCGGACAAGAAACAACACCGTGAATGCGCGAAACACCGCGGACGCGCCCTCCCAGGGCCACGATCAGCGCGCCCGAGGCTACGATCCCAGGAAAAAAACTGTCTGCGTTCGAGCAATCGAGACGACCCCAAGACGCCTCGCAGACGCGCCAAGAGGCCTCCAAGACGCCCCAAGATGCCTCCAAGACGCCTCCGTTACGCCCAAGCCAAAAAAATCGAAGACGCTCCAAGAGGCTCCGAGACCGCCCATGGGGCCCAGCATCGGAAGCTCGCGAGAGAGCCAACTTCAACGCACACCAAGAAAACATGTTTTTTCAATTCTCGACATTGCGGACTCCAGAAAGCCCCGAGGTGACCCCAACAGGGCCCCAGAAAGCCCCGAGGTGACCCCAAGGTCCCGAGGTGACCTCAAGGTCCCGAGGCTTGCTGGGTTTATCAGACCCCGAGGTGACCCCAAGAAGGCCCCAGAAAGCCCGAACAGCTCCCCGAAATTCCACAGAAGAGCTTCAGAAAGGCCCCAGGATGGCTCCAAGACGGCCCCAAGATATCTGAAGATAGCCCCTATGATAGTTCAAAGCAATCCCAGGGAGGAGGGAGGCCCTCAATAGGCGCCAAATAGCCTGTGTGAGGCTCACAAAGGGGCTCCAAGAAGGCCCCCAGGGGCCCCCAAGGGACCTCCAAGATGCTCCCGACAGCCTTCGAACGGGCTCCCATGGCTACACTTGGGTTCCGAACGCGTTGGCGTGCGCTTCCGCTGCTGACCAAAATGTTCTACGTGGCTCCGCCCTCAATCTACCCAGTCGATGGCGGAACGGAGCTGGAGGGATCTTCCACCGGGTATCGCCCTCGAGCTATGAAGCGACTGCTCCCCAAACTCCAACCACACGACACTTTGGGGGAATGGCCACAACCCATCAACTTTCAGATCCACCCGAGCTTACAAGCCGAAAGCAACGATGATGCCATATGGGCTGGCAGGGGGTCGACACTGATCTGTTTCACGCTCGACAGCGGGCCATGCCACGCAGCTGTGGTGTCTCATGTCTCAAGGCGGTGCCTAACGGCAGCAGTTCATGTACTGAAGATGTGCGCTGAAATGCGCCTGTGAATATATGCTGGCTGCACTATCCGTTCCCGTAGACTGGCCGCTTATGAACCAAACTACATGGAGAAAAAAGAAGCACAGCATTCCAGTGGAAGCGTCTTGTCTGCTGGCGATCTGCCGTCGCATATGCTGCAATGCAACTATCGGCAACGATCCGCCGCCGTGCCTGCACAGAGTGGGCGTGAAAGAATGTGAATGCTTTCATATTCGGAGTTTCGACATTGGGCGGGAGGGGGAGGGGGGAGGGGGAGGGGGGGAGGGGTGGGAGGGGGGAGGGGGGGTGCGAAGGCCCGCGCCGATCGAAAAAACAATGAATAAGAAAACGACGACAACGCTCTTATGTTGCCTGGTGCGGTTTTAATGCTTTCTGGGGCCGGCACCCCCCCTCACCAACGCGCGTGCTTAACAAATCGGCCTTGCTGGATTTCTCTCCGGGGCTCTCTTCGGCCTCCGGGCGGCCAAGATGGCCTCCAAGAGAGTCAGCACGAACTGGTGACTCTCGCTTACGAGGAAGCAAGGCCGCACATGATGGCCCAAACAACTCAAGAGGCTCCCAAAACGGCCTCAAGACGGCTCGAGAGGCTTCCAAGACGGCCCGAAGACCAGGGAGGCCCTCCAGGAGAGCCCGAGGAGGCAGCACTTCCCCGAGACGTACCCAACCCCTTTTCCACGCGAGGCAACCATTTGCATGAACGCCCCATGCAACAGAACACGTCGCGAGAGATATGCACAATCTACGCTGCCCTGCACTCCGCCGTGCCCCCCCCCAGGAGCCCACGAAAGTGACGACATCTGCGCAGCTCGCAGCCCCCGAGGGAGCCGCGAGGCCTCAGTGGTCCGCGCTGCCCCCGCCTCGGCCGTGCCCCCCAGGCGCCCACGGAAAGAGACGACAACTGCGCAGTTCGCAGCCCCCGAAGGAGTCGATAGGTCTCGAAGTGTCCGCGTGGCCCTCACCTCCAACGTGCCTCTCAGGCGCGCCCACGAAAGGCACCGACAATTGCGAGCTTCGCAGCCCCCGAGGGGGAGACTCGAGGTCTTCGAGTGATCTGCGCTGCCCTCACCTCCGACGTGCTTCCCTAGAGCCCACGACAGTGACAACAGCTGCGCCATTCGCAGCCCTCGAGGGAGCCGCGAGGTCTCACCTGAATCTGTGCTGCCCTCACCTCCGCCGTGCCTCTCAGGCGCCCACGAAAGTGACGACAATTGCGCAGTGCGCAGCCCCCGAGGGGGGCGCGAGGTCTCCAAGTCATCCGCGCTGCCCTCACCTCCGCCGTGCTTCCCTAGAGCCCACGAAAAAAGACGACAACTGCGCACTCCGCAGCCCCCGGGGGAGCCGCGAGGTCTCGAAGTGATCCGCGTGGCCCTCACCTCCGCCGTGCATCCCAGGCGCCCACGAAAGTGCTGACAACTGCGCAATTCGCGGCCACTGAGGGAGCCGCGAGGTCTCAAAGTGATCCGCGTGGCCCTCACCTCCGCCGTGCCCCCCAAGATCCCACGGAGGGAAAATGACAACCGTTACGCAATTCGCAGCCCCCGAGAGAGCCGCGAGGTTTCAAAATGATCCGCTGGCCCTCACCTCCAACGTGCCTCTCTGGAGCCCACGAACATGACGAAAACTGCGCATGTTGTAGCCCCCGAGGAAGCCGCGAGGTCTCCAACTTAGCTGCTGGAAGCTGGCCCTCACCTCCGCCGTGCCCAGGCGCCCACGAAAATGACGACAACTGCGCAGATCGCAGCCCCCGAGGGAGCCGCGAGGTCTCCAAGTAAGCGGCCCCCAAGATATCCCAAGAGACCCCCAAGAGGAAGCCAAGACGGCCCCAAAATGCTTTGAAGACCACCAAAGGGCCCCCAAGGCGTCCACGGAGCCTTCCAAGAGGCTCCCGCCCCAAGAGGGCCCCAAGAGTCCAAGAGCCGCCAGCAGGCCCCCAAGACGCCCCAAGAGACACCTAAAAGACACCGAGAGACGTCCCAGGAGACTCCGAGAGGCATCAAAGAAGCCTCTGGCCCACGGAGGCCCCCCGAACTCTCCAAGTGATGCCACGATCCCCCGATAAGCGCAGCTCCCCGGGGCATCGTTTCTGGATGGGCTGGTGGGGATGAGCGAAGCACCAGGAATTCAACTCCGTCCTGCTGCGCCGGTATACAAGCACGGAGGCGAAGGGTTCCGCAGAAAGCTGGATAAATGGGGATGGTCCCAAGCCCTGAATGATCGCATCAGCAACAGACAGCCAAACCTGAACGTCCATTGCGAGAGCAGTCCCCATCTAGACAGGAACTCCTCTTCAAACAAGAGCACTACATGCCTCCGCGCAGGCGCAGCACCAGGTGAAGCGTGGACTCCTTCTGGATGTTGTAGTCCGAGAGCGTGCGCCCGTCCTCCAGCTGCTTCCCTGCGAAGATCAGGCGCTGCTGATCCGGAGGGATGCCCTCCTTGTCCTGGATCTTCGCCTTGACATTATCGATGGTGTCACTGGCCTCCACATCCAGGGTGATTGTCTTGCCTGTCAGCGTCTTCACGAAAATCTGCATTCCGCGCGCAGGCGCAGCACCAGGTGAAGCGTGGGACTCCTTCTGATGTTGTAGTCCGAGAGCGTGCGCCCGTCTCCAGCTGCTTCCCTGCGAAGATCAGGCCGCTGCTGATCCGGAGGGATGCCCTCCTTGTCCTGGATCTTCGCCTTGACATTATCGATGGTGTCACTGGCCTCCACATCCAGGGTGATCGTCTTGCCTGTCAGCGTCTTCACGAAGATCTGCATTCCGCCGCGCAGGCGCAGCACCAGGTGAAGCGTGGACTCCTTCTGGATGTTGTAGTCCGAGAGCGTGCGCCCGTCCTCCAGCTGCTTCCCTGCGAAGATCAGGCGCTGCTGGTCGGGAGGGATGCCCTCCTTATCCTGGATCTTCGCCTTGACATTATCGATGGTGTCACTGGCCTCCACATCCAGGGTGATCGTCTTGCCTGTCAGCGTCTTCACGAAGATCTGCATTCCAGCCGCGCAGGCGCAGCACCAGGTGAAGCGTGGACTCCTTCTGGATGTTGTAGTCCGAGAGCGTGCGCCCGTCCTCCAGCTGCTTCCCTGCGAAGATCAGGCGCTGCTGGTCCGGAGGGATGCCCTCTTTATCTTGGATCTTCGCCTTGACATTATCGATGGTGTCACTGGCTTCCACATCCAGGGTGATCGTCTTGCCTGTCAACGTCTTCACGAAGATCTGCATTCCACCGCGCAGGCGCAGCACCAGGTGAAGCGTGGACTCCTTCTGGATGTTGTAGTCCGAGAGCGTGCGCCCGTCCTCCAGCTGCTTCCCTGCGAAGATCAGGCGCTGCTGATCCGGAGGGGATGCCCTCTTGTCCTGGATCTTTGCCTTGACATTATCGATGGTGTCACTGGCCTCCACATCCAGAGTGATCGTCTTGCCTGTCAGCGTCTTCACGAAAATCTGCATTCCGCCGCGCAGGCGCAGCACCAGGTGAAGCGTGGACTCCTTCTGGATGTTGTAGTCCGAGAGCGTCGCGCCCGTCCTCCAGCTGCTTCCCTGCGAAGATCAGGCGCTGCTGATCCGGAGGGATGCCCTCTTGTCCTGGATCTTCGCCTTGACATTATCGATGGTGTCACTGGCCTCCACATCCAGGGTGATCGTCTTGCCTGTCAGCGTCTTCACGAAGATCTGCATTCCGCCGCGCAGGCGCAGCACCAGGTGAAGCGTGGACTCTTTCTGGATGTTGTAGTCCGAGAGCGTGCGCCCGTCCTCCAGCTGCTTCCCTGCGAAGATCAGGCGCTGCTGATCCGGAGGGATGCCCTCCTTATCCTGGATCTTCGCCTTGACATTATCGATGGTGTCACTGGCCTCCACATCCAGGGTGATCGTCTTGCCTGTCAACGTTTTCACGAAGATTTGCATGGTGCTTTTTCTCGAATTGGTATGGGGCCTGATATATCCGATATCGACGACTCCACTCGGAATCCCGACGATTGTTGAGCCGAAATGCGACCGGCGCGGCGATTCGCGAAACCTCTCCTGGATTTATCCAGAGGAACATGTTTTGCCATGTTTTCGCAAGTTTTCCCTGGTTCCGAGGGGGAGGTTTTGGAAGGTCGTTCCAAACACCCCCAACAAACCTCCCAACGACCTTCTAAAAACCATCCAGTAACCTCCAAAAAACCTGGCAACAAAACCTTCCCATAAACCTTCCAACAACCTTCAATCTCCAACAACCTTCCAAAATTACCCTGGCGACGTACCCAACCCCTGCGCAAACGCGGGGCGCAAATAGTTTAGGACACTCTATAAGTGGGGCGATGACGGAGCGAGCATTACATATGTCTGCAGACGGAATTCGATAGACTCGCAGGACACTGGCTACAGGGCAAGGACTAGATAAAGCTGAATAGTTACAATCCCTGAGCAGCCCTAGCCACTTCGAAAGCGGGAATATCATATAGCAGCCCCCGAAAGATGGCGAGGTCGAACTTGAGTCTGCGGCGAGGTCCCAGAAACAATAACGGTTCGAGGATGATGTGATCGAGGGCCTGAGAGCAACTCACGAGGCATGAGGGGCGTCTCGTAGAGAGCAAGCTGTTCTTTCCGCTTCGCCCCCTGCAAATGATGTGCAAGTCGCTTGCATCTTTTGCGAGGTACAACTCTTCACCCAGCGAGTTCCAACCAATTTGATGCAGCATAAACGCAGACACATGTGATTGAACTACTACTCGCCAGGCTCCCTAAGAGCCCCCGCTGACGTGGCAGCAGCAACGTGACGCGGAGAGCAATTTAAAAGCTAGCATGATGGCTTGCGCCACGTGGGGCCTCGCTCTGCATTCACTCGACGCCCCAGTACGCGGTGCGGGCGCGCTTGCCGCGCACGCGCCTCGCACGCAGGCCCCAAACGCTAGCCCGACGCGCCGACGTGGCGAGGACGCCCGCCACATTCGAGGTCTGCTGGGCCCCCCAGCAGGCCTCGAAAGTGGCGACAGTTTCACAGATCGCAGCCCCCCAGGGATGGCGAGGTCTAATTTGGGTCCGCGCGTGGCGTCACTGTGCTGGGCCCCCCAGCAGGCCTCGAAAGTGGCGACAGTTTCACAGATCGCAGCCCCCCAGGGATGGCGAGGTCTAATTTGGGTCCTCGCGTGGCGTCACTGTGCTGGGCCCCCCAGCAGGCCTCGAAAGTGGCGACAGTTTCACAGATCGCAGCCCCCCAGGGATGGCGAGGTCTAATTTGAATCTGCCCGTGGCGTCACTGTGCTGGGCCCCCCAGCAGGCCTCGAAAGTGGCGACAGTTTCACAGATCGCAGCCCCCCAGGGATGGCGAGGTCTAATTTGGGTCCGCCCGTGGCCCTCACTGTGCTGGGCCCCCCAGCAGGCCTCGAAAGTGGCGACAGTTTCACAGATCGCAGCCCCCCGCAGGCAAGACAGGAGGAGGCAGGCAGGAGGCAGGAGGGAGGCGGGAGGAGACGCGCGAGCAGTGCTCTATTCAAAACGAATACCTCACCAAGGAGGGTTGGGAATAAAGCAGTAAGCAGGACGCAGGAGGAGGGAGAGAGGCGGGAGGAAGAGGAAGGTGGAGACCATAGTCCCTCATTCAAAACGAATACCTAACCAAGGAGGGTTGGGAAAATGTCAAACTGCCTTTCAAAAACCGGCCAAAATCCTTCCAATAATCTTCCTAAAATCCAGACCCCCCCCAAAACAAAACAAAAAAAAAGCCCAGAAACCTTTCAACAACCACCTTCCCCAAGAAGGTTGCAGGACGATTTCCCCCTTAAACCTCGCAACAAGTTCCCGCGGGAAGGTTTTGAAAAGGTTTTGAAAAGATCCCCCCTAAAACCTCCCAAAAGCCTGCCGCAAGAAGGTTTTTGGAAGGTCTCCTATATACATACATCTATATATGTCGGCGGTGCCCCGCGGCGCGAACCCCCCCCCGCCTTCTCGGGGGGGTTCGTACAGGGCGCACCGGGTGCCGCCGACGACCTGGAACCCCACCTCTCCCTCTTTCCCCCGGCTAGACGTGAGAGTGACCCTGGGGAAGAGTGACCTTTGGTGCGCAGCTTTTGGGGGCGCGAGGGAGCCAAACCCAAGGGAGTGGGCCGCTCATATCGCATCGTGCTCGGCGATCGGGGGGAGCCCGGTGATCCCGCACCAAAGGTCACTCCGGCGAAGGGTCACTCTTACGTCTAATCGATTCCCGGGGGGGTTTGCATGGGGCGCACCGGCGCCCCCGCCCCCCCCTGTGGTCGCGGAGCGGGGGGCCCCCGTGGGAGCGGGGGGGGGGGCCTGCGGGGGCGGGAGGGGGGGCCGCGCGGGAGCAAGGGGGATGGGTCTTCGGGGCGCGGGCGCGGGGCGGGAGGGAGGGCGATAGATAGAGGAGTGGAGGCACGGATGGATGGACGGATCGACGGACGGACATGAGATAGGTGGTCGAGGGTCTGCCCCCCCCCCGCCCCCCCACGCTGATGCCATCGGGCCCCCCCCGCGCGATGGGCCCCCCCCTGTGGGCGCGGCGTGGCGGCCCCCCCCCCCCCCCCCTGTGGGCGCGGGGCGGCGGCGGCCGCCGCCGCAGCCGCCGTCGTCATCGTCGTCGTCGCGGTGGCGGCGGTGGTCGTCGTCGTCGTCGCCGTCGGCGTCGTCGTCGTCTCGTCGTCGCGGTCGCGGGGGGGGATTCAGAAAGGTGGGGGGGGAGCCGCGGGGTGCGATGAAATGGGGAGGAGTCGGGAGGGGCCGGGAGGAGTGCTCAGTAGAGCGATGGAGCGGGGAGGAGTCGGGATGAGCGCCGAGGAGGGCCGAAGAGCGCGACGGCGCGGGGAGGAGTCGGGAGGAGCGGCGAAGGATGCCGAGGAGCACGACGGAGCGGGGGAGGGTCGGAGAAGGGGGGGGGAGTCCCGGGAAACATCCAGGGATTCTGGGGGCCTCCGGAGGTCTCTGGATGTCGTCGTCGCCGTCGCCGTCGCCGTCGTCGCCCTCGCCCTCGTCCTCGCCCTTGTCGCGCTCGCAATCGTCGCCGTCGTCGTCGTCGCCGTCGTCGTCGTCGGCGTCGTTGTCGCGGCGAGGAGTGCGATGGAGTGGGGATGAGTCGGGAAGAATGCCGAGGAGGGCCGAGGAGGGCGATGGAGCGGGGAGGAGTCTGGGGCAACTGGGAGGAGAGCCGCGGAGTGCGATGGGGCGGGGAGGAGCTTGGAGGAGCGGGGGCTGAGGATTGCGATAGAGTGGGGAGGCGGAAGAGTGCCGAGGCGAGCCGAAGACTGCGATGGGGTGGGGGGAGCGGTGAGGATTGCCGAGAAGTGCGACGGAGTGGGGAGGAGTTGGAGGAGGGGTGGGGAGCCCCAGGGAGACCTCCAGGGGATTGCGGAAAGCCGGCCCCCTACTTCCGGGAAGCTCCGAGACCGTCTGGCCCCCTACTTCCGGGAAGCTTCTGGGGCTGCGGGGGATTCCCGGGATCTCTGGATGTCGTCGTCGCCGTCGCCGACGCCGCCGTCGCAGGCGCCGCCGCCGACGCCGCCGCTGGACGCTCGCGCGCGCTGCCTGGGCGCTGCCCCGCGCTCTGGCCATCCCGGGGGGGTTCGTACCGGGGCGCACCGGCGGGGCGTCCCGAACCGGGGCGCACCGGCCCCGGGGGGTTCGTGCATCCCGGGGGGGTTCGTACCGGCCTGCACCCGCGGTGCGGCCAGCACGAAACCCCCAGGGCGAGCGATTCCGCGGGGGGGGGGGTCGCTCCGCACCAGGCACCGCCGACAGAAATAACATGATACCGGAGAAAAAGCCCAATCAGATTTGTTTCTCATCTTCCAATTGCTCCCTTTGTAATCGGGCTATAGGGCGGGCTATAGGGCTGTAGGGCTATCGGGCTATAGGGCTACAGGGCGATCGGGCTATAGGGCTATAGGGCTATCGGGCTATAGTACTGTGACTTATGGGGCCATAGGGCTATAGGGCTATGGGGCTATAGAGCCATATGGGCTTAGGGGCTATAGGGCTATAGGGATATAGGGCTATTAGGACTGTAGGGATATAAAGCTACAGGGCTATGGGGCTATACGGCTATAGGGCTATAGGACTATAGGGCTACTGGGCCATTGGGCACCCCCGGGCACCCGGGCCCGGCCACCGAAATCGGCCACGCACCTCACCGGCCACCGGGGCACCTGGGCACCGCCGGGCACCCAGGCACCCGGGCACCCGGCACCCGGGCCCGGCCACCGAAATCGGCCGCACCTTTCACCTAATCCTTTAATCCGCTAGGACCCCTACAGAGGCAAGCTCTGATTGGGGAAAAAAACTTCTGAAACCTTCCTCAAAAAAGATGTGGGGAATTCTTCCTTCTAAAACCTTCTAAATTTCCTACAAATATTTATATATGTAGGCTTGTGGGGGGTATGTATTAAAAAATGTTGGAGGATCCCTCTTCACACGAAGCTTTCCTGAAGTTTTTTGGGCCGATTCCTCTTCAGAAG